CTTCTTTCTTCATCTGCACAGCTCAAATGTAAACTGTGGAATAAAACTTGTTTCGAAGGTACTTTAGAAATCATTAACCCAACCAGGGCATATTGCTGCACTCGCAGTTCTTACATATTTTATTTATTTTATTTTATTTATTTAGTTTAGTTTGTCAAGCATGTATGAGAAAACAAGTATAAGTATGAACATAACATATAAACATATAAATATAAACAGGTATAGATACATACATAATGAATGAGAAAGAAGAAATGGGAACAGTAGGACAGGGATGGTAGGCATGCTGGTGCGCTTATGCACGCCCCCTTACATGCCCCACTTACACGCCCCCTCTTAAGAATGGAGTGAAGTCCACAGTAGACAATTTAAGGTTAAAGTTTTGGGGATGTAACAACAGAGTCAAGTAGTGAGTTCCAGGCATTGACCACTCTGTTGCTGAAGTCGTATTTTCTGCAGTCGAGTTTGGAGCAATTTACTGTGAGTTTGTATCTATTGCTTGCCCATATATTATTGTGGTTGAAGTTGAAATAGTCATTGACAGATAGGATGTTGTAGCAGACAATTTTGTGTATTAAGCTTAGGTCAGACTGTAGGCGGCATAGTTCTAAGTTGTCCAAAATTTCAAGCCTGGTGGCATATGGTATTCTATTGTGAGATGAGGAGTTGAGTACTCTTCTCATGAAATACTTCTGGACTCATTCAATTGTATTAATATCCGTTATACAGTGTGGATTCCAGGCAGATAAGCTGTATTCAAGAATTGGTCTGGCAAAGGTTTTGTATGCCCTGGTTTGCAGTTCAATATTACCAGAGAAGAAGCTTCACAAATTAAAAAAACATACCAACTGGTGTGCCTAGTACATTCTTTTCTAGATTGAGAGGCCCTTCAGACAATCACTCATGCCCTGATCACCACATAGCTCAACTACTACAACAACTAGTCTCCATGGGTTGTCCTTTCAAGACTGCCCAGAATCTTCAGCCCTATTCCCAATGCAGCAACATGGGCAGTGATGGGCAAGCCTCAGTATGCCCACGTAACACCTCTCCTTCATAAGCTACCTTGGTTGCCAGTTTGCTTTTACTGCAGTTCAAGGTGTTGGTCATTACCTACAATAAAGCCTTACCTGGTATAAGGTGACTTGAGGGACTGCCTGTCTCCAATACTGTAGTATCTGCCTGACCTATTCAGTCTCGTAGGGTTGGCAGTCTCCAGGTTACTTCAATTAAAAAATGTTACCTATTGGGACACTGGAAGCACACTTTCTCTGTCGAACCACCTGCCCTCTGGGATGAATCTTCTAGAATGATCTAGATGTCTCATTTTGATCTTGATTAGAATAGTTATGAAAACATGGATCTTCACCCAGGTCGTTGGTGAGGGAGAGTGAAACCCCTTACTTAATTCCCAACCAGTCCGTTATTTTTACCATCTTTTAACTAAAATTGGCTATATTGTATTTCCCTTGTTTTAGTTGTCCATCAGACACAACACAATTTTTCAGTGTCTTTCTGAAATGCAGTACCTGGAACTGGGTATAGTATTCTTAAATGTGGTTTGACACTACAGAGAGGAACCATTACTTCTCTTCAGTGGTGGGATTCAAAAAATTTTACTACTGGTTTGGTGGGCGTGGCTTGGTGGGCACGGCTTGATGGGCATGGCAGGGGAAGGATACTGTAAAATCTCCAGTCAGAGGTGGTATTTGCCAGTTCTCCAAACTACTCAAAATTTCCGCTATCGATTCTCCAGAACTGGTCAGAACCTGCTGAATACCACCTCTGCTACTAGAGATGATATTCAAGCAACCGCTAAAACTAGAGAGAGTCATCATGAGACAACTAACACCCCTAGACAGTATTTGAGAAAAGCCACATCAGGAAATGTCCACCATTAGAATAACTGGCATAAACTCTCACTTATTATTGCAGGATATAATAAGCACATGTTGAAAGCCTAACAAAGATTCACTGCCATATAATCCAGGGGTGGGCTTCAAAAATTTTAGCAACGGGTTCTCTGCCCAGTTGCTGGGTGGGCGTGGCCATGGTGGGCATGGCCTAATCCCTGGGCTGTAGAGACTTTCCTCACGCTTCCAGAAGGATGAAAATGGCCTCCCCGGGGTCCAAAGGCTCTCTGGAATCTGGAAATGGGCCCATTTCTGGCCTTCCTGAACTTTTTGGAGGACCATTTTTTGCCCTCCCTGAGCCTCTACGTGTGCCCTGCCTACATCCAAAACTGGCCGTGTGGGGACTCTGGGAGGGGGTGGGGTGGGTGGGGCCACCCAGGAGTGGGATTGGGGGGGTTTCTAAATTGTGCAGAATCTTAGCTAGAGGATCTCCTGAACCCCTGTGAACCCACAGTGGCCCACCCCCTGCATACATCCCATGCTAAATAATCAAATCAGAGCAATCTTACATTTCTTTCTCATTCCTTTCTTCCTTCCTGGTTGTAACTGGTATTTACAGACTGATCACCGAACATTTTCTTCAATTCTAACTATGAACTTCTCTACAAAAAAGTACAGATAGTTCTCAACTTACAAGCACAATTGAGCCCAAAATTTCCATTGCAAAATAGTTGTTAAGCGAATTTAAATTTTGCCCCATTTTAACATTCTTGCCACAGCTGTTAAATGAATCAATGTAGTTGTAACATGGTTGTTAAGTGAATCTGGCTTTGCTTGTGAGGAGATCACAAAAGGTGATCACATGACTCTGGGACATTGCAACTGGCATCAATACGTGCCAGTTGCCAAGCTTCTGAATTTTGATCATGTGATCATAAGGATACTGCAACAGTCGTTAAGAGTGAAAAACAATCATAAGTCACTTCTTTCAGTGCTGTTGTAAATCGAATGGTTACTAAATAAACAGCTGTAAGTTGAGGACTACTTGAAATGAATCTTTTGAATAGCAAAACACTTTATGAGGTTGGAATTCTCACAAAACTTCTTCAAAGAATGCCAAAAATATTGTTCTCATGAAAAATATCATGGCATCTCATGCTGTTAAATTGAAATCTTACAAGATTTGGCTATGTCATGATGTTTCAATCACAACATTAAAAAAAAAATGGTAAGAAGCACTTCAAAAGATAATTGATCCCTGAAGCAGACAATATACATACCTTTCTGTTATCTTTTCTAGCTGCTTACTTTTATAAAAATGAAAACAAAAATGAAAGATAATGCTTTGGCTTGCGAAGACAGATGGTAGACAATTTTTTACTCCATATTGCTCCTCAAAGCTTGGAAACCAATGCCAGAAATCACAAAAAGACTGCATTTCACAGTTATTTCAGCAGGAACAACAAGGGCATCAAAATTGTTTAGAGAACAGTGTTGGTCTCACAACTGCAAAACCCATCATTTTGAATGTGTGTGTGACATTGATATACACACAAAAAGGGCAGGACTTGGATTGTGGTGCTCCATCTGCCATCTTGCTATGGACACAACTTTTAATGATGGCTATGGTCAACAGTTATTGTAATAATTATTATTTTCACTTATTTTGTGGGAGAAAAAGAAATTAGGGTAATTTACTTGAACACAATTAACATACAATTTGGTTAGCGAATAATTCCTATTAAGCAAAACGATGAAAGTGTGGCAACGTTACTCATGTGGCAAAACTATTAAAGTTTCATAACACAAGAGGGCAGTATTGTAGAAAGAGTTAAATGGGATTTTTGGCGCATAGGCTTTAATTCCTCAAGTATAAGGCAACTAACTGAACTGAGGAAAATACAAGTTATACAAAGATCACAGTGGTGGGTTTGTACAAATCGTGTTTATTTAGATGTGCAAAAAGTATGAATGAATTTTAGTGGGTCATTTGGCAAAATCATAGAGTGGAAGGGCCATTTAAGCAATCAAATGCAATTTATTGCTTTGCAGGGGAATCCCAATTAAGTATCAGTAACAGGTGGTTATGTAACCTCTGCCTGTTCATTATGTCATGAAAGGGACCCACTATTTCCTGGCATCATTAGATCCACCATAAAACTGCTCTCACTGTTGAGGAGTCTTTTTTTTCCCTCTGCCCTGAATCCATGTTTCATGGCCTGTACTGTAATCTTCTCTTTTGAAAGCTAAACCTGACCTACTCCTTCAATTCCTTTTTAGTCCCCTTGTTAGAATTTCACTGGCCATGCTGTCTTTTATGTGACTAGGCAGAAGCTCTTCATCCCATCTCCCAGGGTTTTCCCCTCATGCCATTACAGAAGCTGAGGTTGAACCCAAACATAAACAAGAATTGATCTTTATCCAGAGATCATTCTGGATAAGAAGATACTTATGCTGAAAAAGCAGATGCACAACTTCAGTATCCTTTTGAATTCATACTCACCGCTAAATTAACATTGAACTGCAAACATTGAACTGAAAACCAGGGCATACAAAACCTTCGCCAGACCAATTCTCGAATACAGCTCATCTGCCTGGAATCCACACTATATAACGGACATTAATACAATTGAGCAAGTCCAGAGTTATTTCACGAGAAGAGTACTCCACTCCTCAGCTCACAATAGAATACCTTATGCCACCAGGCTTGAAATATTGAACCTAGACAACTTAGAATTATGCCGCCTACAATCTGACCTAAGCTTAGTACACAAAATTGTCCGCTACAACATCCTACCTGTCAACGACTACTTCAGCTTCAACTGCAATAATACATGGGCAAACAAT